CTCCCAAGTCCCAGCTGATCGGGAGGAAATGGGGATTTTACAGCTTCCTTCCTCTAGAGTGGGGAGAGAATGGAGATTTTACAGTATCTGTCCCCTGCCAAGCCCACCAAGCCACGCCCACAGAACCGGTAGTAAAAAAATTTGAATCCCACCACTGATGTGGAGCTATCATTTTAGCTCATGTAAAGGTTACTATAGGGACATATCATGGCACCCCAGATTGCTCACACTGTTGCATTCTGGACAAGCTACAGCTTCAAGAGCAGCTTCATATACAATGATGTGGAGTTCATAAGGTGATAAAAAACATGAGTGCCTACCTTAACATCTCCCAGTCTAAGTATGGCTACAAAGTAGAACACTAGATAAATTATGTCAAAGTTTTCTGGCTACAACTTCCAGTTGTTGCAAAAGCTATGAATTCAAGAAGACTCCAAATTTTGTATCAGTCCTTGAGAGGGGAGTACAATCCTATTTGGGACCAAAAATGAAACCTCTCCAAACTCAGGAGGAGCAAACATTCACAGCTACTCAGTCTTGTCAGAGATGAGCCTAAGCTCATCCTTTCCAAGCCAGGATCATAGAACCTCCACATACTGGAATTAGACATTGATAATATCATTTGGCTCCCTTCAGTATGTGGCCTCATGCAGATACTAATCAGGAGAGGTGGGAACAACAAAACTTAAGCCCTCCTGCTTAAGAGCTAGGATTCTGGCTCAATTTCTCCCTCTTTGTCAATACTGACTGGACCCAACCACGGAGAAAGGAAAACTACCACAGGAAACACCACTCTCCATCTCCTACTCCCTTTAGGCAGTCCAGAAAGATACCATGATTGATGTTATCAAAAGCTGCCAAGAGATTAAAGTAGAACCAGGATGATTACAGCTCCTTTGTTCCAACTCCATCAAAGTTACCAACAAATTCTAATACCAGCTTGATATTATGCCCTGGTCTGAAACCGGACTGAAATTGGTCCAGACAATCTGAATCTTTCGGGGGCCACTGAGAATGTAACCTAGCGACATACTCCACAACATTCTCTTTCCAGGGAAGATTGGAACCTGGATGAAAGTGGCCTAGGACAGTTGGGTCCAGCAAAGGCTTTTTGAAGAGAGGACACTATGTTCAAGGCAGGAAGGGCCACCCTTCCCTCAAAGAAACACACCACACTGACCAATGACACATCACTGCATGGCCATCACCAGCCAGAGGCCCATGGATCTAATATAGAAGTGGCCAGATTCATCATGCTAGGGATACTGTCCTTTTCTGGGAGTCATGGATTCCAACTCAGATGTTAGTAAAGGACAGCATCAATCCTGTTTGTAGCTGAGTGGGTCCCCAGGATTGCGCTGTTTAAGCGATTTAGCTGCAAAGATTTGTTGGACTGAACCACCTTCTATTAGACAAGCGAGAGACTGAATGGGAAAGGTAAAAAAAAGAATTAAGTCATGCAGTTCAGGTTTCTACCAGACTGTGGCAGGAACTGACCTACAATAATAATAAAGCAGTGCAGCTTGTTTTGTAAGACTTTCTCTTTAAAGAAAATATTCCATCCTTCTTTTCCTTCTGCATGTAAAATTGGGGCGCTATGTAAAGGTCAATGTTGCTTACTACCCACATGCTTCCTGCCTTCAAAAATGACTGAATAAAGTCTTCAGTTTCCCCAACAGTATCTGCCGGTATCTGCAGAGCAGGCTTGCAGCTGGGTTGGCTGTGTGGGTGAGCAACTGGCACATTCTTCTTTTAGCTTGATATTCTGCCTTTTGCTCCCAGAGAGGAGTGAGTGTGAGGCTTCTGAAGTTGGGGGGAAAGTGGGTTTAAAATGCATATTTTCCATCCCTCTCTCTTAAGACTTTCCTGTGTGATTACTGTGCCTTGCTGAATACTGCTAGCCCTGTGAGGTAGGACAGGACAGGAAACGGGCCCCACAAAGATTCTAGGAATGTTATGTTACTGTAGTAGGGTATAATAACAGAATCATGAACGTCTACAAGACTTCCTCTCTGCCCTCTCTTACACGAAACAGAATCAAGACAGGACTATTTTGAGATCCTTTCTCACTTTCTCAGGATTGAGTTGTGGTTTCATTCCCCTCAGCAGTTACTCCTTTCCAAAATCATCTCTACATTCCTTTACAAACCGCAGTGACAACTGAACCTTGTGACAAAAGGAAAAAGCCAAATGCTGATCAGACTCAAGTAACTGCGGATGCAAAACAAACTGTAATTCCTTTAATGTCTGATTGTTTCCAGATAATCCCTTCATGGTACAAACGATTAAGTTACACGTTTCCATGTCAGGCTGCCATGAAAGATGCAGCAGCACAATTAGTATTAAAACTCAAATTGTGATTTCGAACCTTCCTCCCTGGGATGGCCACCTTGGTATAGATTGCATTATTCTTTAAAACATTTGTCTTAGGTAGCGTGATGAAGCTTGGACTTTTTAAGCATTACTAAGCTTAGGAATTGGCTTTCCACCTGCTTCTTTGTCTTAGCAGAGTTATAAATAACACCATAGTCTTTGTGCTTAGACCTGGGATAGAGGTAGCACAGGTCACTCCAGTTAATTATCTTTGTCAGATTCCAGATGGTGCAATGCCCTACTTTTAGTCTCCTCCTCCTCCTAGAGGCCTTTGAGATCAAGGTGTTCTTCCAGACTGTTTGTGAGGAGTGGAGGGTTGGAAGCACCATTTCACAGTGGTTCCATTTGGCAGATATAATGAAGAGTTAGCCCAGTGGCTACTCTCCTATGGGATGCTATAGGGCTTGTCCTCCTTCCCTTCCCTTCCCTTCCCCCTTTTTATATCTACATGAACGTCTTCTTTGTATTACTATATTGGGCTATGCTACAGATGCTTTGCCCTCATATCTGAAGACTGTAAGAGTCTGGGTGGAATAGAGTAGGCGAGACCTGGATCCAAGCAAAATAGAGATGTTCATGCATCAGACTCCGTGTTTTCTCTTGGACAGGAAATATTACTCCTGAATGAGTGGGGCTACAATCTGGGATCCTTTAGCTGGTTGAGGCTGTAACTGGGGGATTTCCCCCCCATTGTTGACAGACATGCTATTTGCAACCCTGTCTGAAACAGGATTTTGCCACAAGAACTAATACTGTTGACACTGCTCATCAAGACACCTGTAATGGACACTACATGAGTTTGTCCTTGAATTTACCTTCTTTACTACCCAGAAGCTGGAACTGGTAAAAATAAATTGCAGTATCGTACTCCAGTGGTTCTCAACCTTTTCTTAACCATGGACCTCCTTTAAATACCTTTTGTAGCCATGGACAATCAAGACTTAACTCAAGATTTAAATCATAACATTTCTTCAACCCTTTGTGTGGGCCTTGTGACAATATGGACCATAGTCTGAGGATCACTGCTGTAATGCATTTGTCAATGAATATTTTATGTTGAGAGCATATTATCCCTGAACTCTAGGCGGTGCATTGCCTCTCAAGAACTCTGGACAAAACTAATTTCTTAAAATAGGTATGCTAAATGTTTAAAAGGTCCGACAACCCATTTTATCTTAAAACGAACAAGCCACACAATGCCAATTTTTTTTTTAAAGATCTTGAATTTTCAAGTCTTCCGAAGTCTAATGAAATTACTGTATCTTGCCACACTTTTTGCAAGTCTTAAAAGCTAAAAATAATTACATTTAAAAACAGCATTGTCTTGAATTAAAAAAAAAGTTTCCTGTGCTTGCTGTAGATGGCTAGCATATTAATTCTATTTTTAAAAGCTGTTTGCTACCTAAGTATATCCTCAAAGACCAGAGTTCTGTGGTAGAACACAAGGTTCCCGAGAAGACGATTTCCAAATCATTAACTGGCTTCTCTAGGTCAAAAAAACAGATGAAGTCAAAGCCCTTTCTCTATCCAAGACTCTGCAAAATCGCTATCCATCCGAGTAAACAGTATTGGTCCAGTTGAAAAAAAAATAGCTGGGCCTGCCATAAGGCAACTTTCTCAATGGCAACAAGAAAAGAATTTGGATTTTTGATTCTGACATAGTTGCTTGGCAAAACCTGGCCCTTTGTTGGGAAAGATTTGGCTGGGGAGCAGATTTCTGCTTTTATCAGAATGGAGTCCCTCTCTACAGACCTTGGTGAACAGGAGCAGAGGAAAGGAATGAAAAAGGGTCTGGATTTATGCCCAATGAGCTTTTATACTGATGTGAAATGGGAGGAACGGAAGTGGGTACAATTACAGCAGAGCAAACAAAAGACCAAACCAAACCACAGCATTAACCCAGCAGAGTAGGCAGCTCACATCAAAGTCTGACTTACATCATTGGGAACTAGAAACTCCTGAGAGCTATTCTGAGAGTTTGCATCCAGGCCTATGGAGAAAGAGAGAAAGAAGACACAGAATTACTGGGGCCCTTTGGCTACCCCCCTGATTACTCCTTGAATGGGTATTTCATAATCCTGCCTTCCCTAGAATAAGCTAGAACTGAAACGTTAGCATCTTAAAGACCCTTTCTAGGCACCCTAGTTACAAAGAGCAGGGAGGACACAAAAAGGATTGGATGGCTTCCCAGCTCTTGCAAAGCAATCAGCAGCTCCAAGAAGAGGCTTTTGTTTTATGCCATTTCACTTAGGTCACATTACACAGGACTAATTTTAGATAGTCCCGGTGGAATTCCAGCCTATCCCTGCCTCTTCCTGCTCGATGCAGACCCCATTGGCTACAGATACTCTTTTGTCAACATAAGAAACAATCCTTGTCCTTATTCAGATGGTTAAGAGCTTTGGTTCAATTGCATGGATTTTTGCTACATTTTTACAGGGACTGCTTGGATAAGCCAAGTTCAATGAATGAATAAACAAAACCCAAAAGAAAGCTTCTTATGCATTGTTTATCTGAGCTCCTTCTATTAGGAGAAATTTCAACTTTGGACTTGTAGCTTCATCCAGATGTTCAGCAGCTCCTAATTATTCTTGGAATAACTGAATCCATCAATTCAATGTTGACTCTGAGCGACCACACAGATGGACCTTCTCCAGGATGATCCCTCCTTCAAAACTTATAACAGTGCTAGCACCCACTGCTTCTGTAATTGAGTTCATATACCTGGTTGTCTTCTTCTGTTTCATTTCGCTTTTTTTCCAATTTACAGACTTCTCGAGAGAGAGCTCCAGATATGTCTAAAATATTATTATGTGAGCCTGGGCATTTGTCTCTTTAATACGAACCATGGCTGGATTTGTTCTATGATCCATGATCGGGTTTTTTGGCCATCCAACATCACTGTTGGATGGCCAAAAAACTTAAAATACTCTTTCTAGCCTGCTTCTTCAAACTACTTGAAATTTTGCCTAGATACAGATCAGCAATCTGTACAGTTGTTGTTAAGATTTCATTTCCATAAAGTGTCACAGGAAAAACTGCTGTGCAATGAAATCATTTCCATTTTCAGCTGTTCGTGTAATGTCGCGTCATCAGAATAGCTAAGGCTATTGATGTTTCTTCCTCCAGTTCTAAAACCACACTCATCTTTTTCTAATCTAGTTTCCCTCAATATATATTCAGGATGTAGATTGAAAAGAAAATAAGGGGAAAATTTTGTCTCACTCCTTTGCCACACGGAGCGAGTCTATTTTGTTATGTTTGTGTGGATGGTGGCTTCCGGTCCTGTGCATAGGCTTTTACATTAGGACAAAATCAAAGGATATTGTGCAAGCTGTTGCTTTGTTCTTTGCTTAATGGCTTTTCTGTGATAAGAACAAAGATGCTAAAACCATGTTCAGCAATATCAGATCCAGCCAGAGTGCTACATGCCTTCGTTATGCCTCACTTGGATTCCTGCAATGTGCTTGGTATGGGGCTGCGTTTGAAAACTGCTCAAAATCATCTGCTGGTTCTGACTGCTGCCACAAAGCTGCTTTTCAAGATTTGCTATAGATAGCAAGAGATCTCATCTTTACAACAACTACACAGGTTGCTGATCTGTATCCAGGCAAAGTTTCAAGTAGTGCCCAAGACATACAAAGGCCTATTCAAAATCACTTATTCCTTCACACACACCTCCACCCCCCACTCGTGTGTGTGTGTGTGTGTGTGTGTGTGTGTGTGTGTCTGTGTGTGTGTGTTATTTAGAGAAAGAAAATGGGAGACATTGAGAAAGAGTGTATGCTTGGCCCCTTGAGCTGATTTCCTTTGTTCCTCCCTTCTGCATTCTAATCT